GAGTTGAATTTTCTAAATCTGAACTAGGATAACCCAAATGAGTATAATTGTTGTCTTCCTTATGCTACAGTGGTAGATCAGAAAACCGATTATTTCAAAATCTATCACTGTTTGGCTTTGACATGACATTATTCCTTTACTTTTAGTCAAACTTTCACAATAAAATTGTGAAATTTTATTATTTTTATTATTATTTTATTATACCAAATTATCAAAATAAAAATCATAATTCACACAGATGTGAGTTCTGATTGTTCACTCTCTAGCTTAAAAATTCATATGAGTAGCTTTTAAAACTTTAAGAACATTTAAAATACATTTGCCGTTTTAAAGAATAGTCTCAAAGATTTTGAAAGAAAATTTAGTTTTCTTGAAATTTTAGAACCAGAAGGGCCCATATATGTTTTCTGCTTCATATCTGGCTGAGAAACTGAGGCCCAGAAAGCAGAAATTCTTAATCCACAGTTAGAGAGTTAATGGCAGGCCTAGGACCAGGATCCAGGTGTCCTGACTGACATCATGGGTTTTTCACAGAACAAAACATTTTTCATCCATTATAAGGAGATGTTGGCAAATATCAGGGATTTGAGGTAATGGAAAAAATAGAACAAGTAATCCCTGAACACTTACTTGTCCCAGAAAATTTGTGTTAAGATGATCTACTGTGAAGAAAATTTTGAGTCAATTATATTGCTACGGGTGCTTGTTAACAGATGTTGAAAAAGAATTCTTGGGCTCATTATGTTTTATGTTGCTGGTTTCTATGGAGAAGTCAGTTAGTATTATTTCCAAACAAGTAGACACTAATTACTTTGCTTAAGTAAGTACTGTTGCATTTTAGGAATAGTGTCCAATATCAGGCTAAAACTTCCATTTTTAATTTTAAATTACTACTAGAAGAATGTAGTACTTAATAAATTTAACCATTAAACTCTCCATCTTGGCTATGATTATTTATAAACATGAAAAACCAAAGAGTAAAAATTCTGACCTGGATAGCACGCTGGGAGTCAACTCCATTCCCAGATGAAAGGGCCCCAAAAGCATCAATGAGGCCATTGTTCTGAGCCTGATCTGAAGCATATGTCTGTAAACCACCTAAAATGCAATTATATTATCAGAAGCTGTTTTCTAGAAAGCAAGTATTTGCAGCATTTTAGCTATTGTTAGATAGCAGAATATGTGAAATAAATATTCTATTGCATTTTAAAGTATTAATCGATCAACCTCAAATAAGCATCCAGATTAACTCAGAAGTCTATACTAATTTTTTAATTCTACTAAATAAGATTCAGCAACACCTCAGTTGCCCAGCTATGTCAGTTATCTGCAAAGCAGCCACGGATCTCTGATAGGTCAAAACTAGTATCATAAAATTTCATGGTTTAAAGGTCATGCACTTCATATAAGAGAATTTATTAAGCCTTAGTCCAAGTCTGTTGATTTATTCCTTTTTTAGATAGAATCCTAACAAGCTTGACTTTTGAATTTTCTTCTAAATCATAAAACGTGTATGTAACAACAGCAAGAAATAACAGTTAACAAGGGACAGTTATAGAAAAGTATAACATGTAGTAAAAAAAAACAGATTATACACCAGGTCTCACAGTCTCAGGCTATTTAGAACATGTATAACTAAGGTATTTGATGTGAAAGCACTTTTAAACCATTAATGCCTTCCAAAGTTTAAGGTAAGTACTTTGGTAATGCTCTTGGGGTATCACCCAGATACCCTTACCTATGCAAGGGAATCTCTCCCCAGCTACTCTAAGTGTTAGCTGCTAATGGCATATAGCTGCCCCATTTTTCCAGAGAACTGCTGTGCCAAAAGGGGCTATACTTGCTAGAGAAATAACATGCTCCCTCACCTCCCCCTTGCCTTGACTGTCCATGGCCACTGACTGATGGGTGCAGTGGTACAAAAGGTTAGCCCTTTTGCCTCAAGATTATACCAAGTATGTGATGCAATTCCAGATTGAGAGCCGCCTGTGGGGTTAGCTTCAGCTAGACTCTAAGTTCACTTCTGTGCTTGGGTCCTTCCCCTGTTCTATCCTACTTCCCTTTCTCTCATTCTCCTGATAATTCTGCCTCTATAAATCACATTCACCCAAATCCATCCCTGTCTCAGGCTCTGCTTCTAGGAAACCCAGACTAAGATAGGTAGTATTTGGAACAAGCAGCCCTGTCATTCATTGTGGCTGCCTCAGAAGGCAACTCAGCATAATAATTGATATCCATAATGCTGGCCCTAAGTTTAAAAAAAAATTGTGCACACCTACTCTGCTAAAGAAGCCAAGCACATATGGAGTCTATTTTAACCATCTGTCTGTGTATGAGAGAAGCACAATATATTAATGTTTTATGGAGAAACTGCATTGTTTTCTACATTTTCAGAGTGACTTTCAGTGTGATTCATTAGGCCCTTTGCTCTTTCCCTACCACTCTTTATTAGAGTCTCAACTTAGATGTCACCTTCCTGGACCCTTCTCCTTTCCATAGTAAAGTCAAAGGCTTTCTATTCTAGTGTGCTTTCTACTGTTAACAGATGACTTGTATCATAGTATTACATAGTTAGTGGCTTGTCCTCTGTCTTCCCTGGGTCTCTTAGCCAGTTGCCAACTAGAAGAGAGTGGTTTCTGGCTAACCTATTAGGTTCTTTGCAGTTCTTACAAAGTGTCTGGGAAGAGAGACCTGAGTCCTGACTAGAGGACTGTGCTGATCCCATCTTTCTGCAGACTGTCATAATCCTAGAACTGAGGCCGTACAAGAAATGGAGGGTCAATTCTAATGGTCATTTGGAGGTAAAGGCAGATAGTTAGTTAATAAGATTACCCCTCTCTATATATATGTCCCACCCTTCTCCTTCTCCCCAGTTCACTGGAGCCACAGTCCATTGGAAGAGACAATTTAGTGGGACACAGCAGCAGCAGACCACCCTTCACCTGTCATTTTAGATAGCTCCTCTAGTTCTTTTGCTGCAGAGGGTCCGAGGGCGACTGTGTGGATGACGGCTCCACTTTGTTTCACTTCATTAAAGCATGAGCTTATAGTGTTGTCCTCTCCATCAGTCAATAGCACTATCTCAGCTCCATCTGTTGGGTATTTCTTCTTAATAACCTAAGAACATAATGCAGGGCATGAGTTGTTAGGGTGGCCATAGTGTTTGGGAAAACTGCATTTAAAGGGAACGAGAAGAGAAACTCCAGAGGGAATAAACAGAAGTGCCTGAGAATGGTCAAATATCTCTCTGTCTTAAAATGATATAATTTTAAATCAGCAACATTCATGGAACTTGACAGTAGTCTTTTCTCTCGGTTACCCTGTTGCAGAGCAGACTCTGTAAAGAGGGATACAAAATTATTCCAGGAAAAGAGAGCATTGGGGAAGCAACAAAGGATGTTTTTTTAGTTTTCTTACATGACCTCTTCTTGATGGAGGTTCCCAGATGCTTTCAGAAACCATCCTCATTGAATAGGGATAATATTTGGGAGATATTAGATGCAGGGTGGATTTAGCTTGTATGATATTTACCTTCTGATATTCACCATCTGAGTAGACCAACTGTTTATGGTTGGCATTGGTTCTGACCGATGAGTACTCAGATCACATGAGTTATTAAAATTTTTAATATTCCCTCTGATTAAAACAAATAATTTTGTTCCCATTAACCCCAGCTCCTAATCATCTTGTGACATCTATGTTTCAACTATTCCTGATTAACACAGAATATAGTTTTTTACATTGTACAGAAAGCACACAGCTCTTACCAGTGTTGGATAAGATTATGATAGAAGGAAAATTAGATTTAAAAAATAATGTTACTCATTTCAGAGGAGGAAGGCAAGAGTCCATTCTTCCCCTAAAAAAGAGTAGAAGGAGAGACCCAGAAGAAGAGAAAACAAGCAAGCAAGCCTAAGTAACCTCCCTTCTCTGGACCTGACTCTTAGAAAGGGAAGGCATCTTAAGTAGGTTGAAAGGAAAGCTAATAGCAGAGGGGACTTCTGTCATCCTCTGTTTGATCTTTGAGAGGAGACTGCCACACAAGGGAAGAAAGCAGAACTGTGTCTGCTGCTACATGAAGGAGCCCAGAGCCCGGGATCCTCTCAGCTATGGCTGTGTCCTTGTTCTAACCAAGCTGAGAGGCCAGAGAAAGGGCTTAATTTGGATTCCCTTGTCCTACTTCTCCCCATCACTGCTCTGTGCCATGGAAAACATGTAGAAGTTCCCACATATCCCATAGGAAAGACAGAAGTCAGCAGACAAGAGATTAAGTCATCTTGCCATTTAGACTGAGGGCTGTTCAGTCTGTCAGGGGTTGGATAGAGGACAAGGGGATGTTCAGGGCTGTTCCGATAGTGAGAGCCAGGGTGGGGCTGAGTCAGCCAGGAAGGATCACAGGGCTCTGATCAAGCCCAGAAAACAAAGTCCAATAGGCACCTCAGCAGAAATTGGAGCCCAGAACAGACCTGACAAGGGTCTTGGGGCAGGAACCAGTGGGGAACTTGAGGACAATGTAGGACCCAAGGCTCTTTACCTCATCACACACAAGCTCCTCCCCTCCCACATCTGGACTCCATTGGGCAGGAGGAGCATCTAAATTCCAGTTGTATCTCTCACGCTCTCTCACCCATCTAAGTGGAAATGCAAAACCAGAAGTTCTCTCTTCACCACCAAGCCATCTGGCATTACTCATCTCCCCTAAGGTTTTGCATAGTAGGCTTTTAATATAACATGTCAGCGATTTCACTGCCCATTCCCCTCCCTCATTTGCTTCTTTAATCAAAGCTTGGGTGAATGGAGTGATAGAGGCAACAGAATCCAGATGCACACAGGCATCTGGACAAGGGTTTTACAGCTGACTGTGCATACAGTGGAAACCACTTTTAGGGAACTGAACTTCAAAGATGGAATAAAAAGTCCAGAGGGACAGACTGAATTTGAGGAAATGGTTGTCTCTTGTCCACATGCAGTAATAGTGTGAGCTGGAAACGAAATGTTCCTGCTGCTGCTTGGGAATCTGGAACAGCCCTACTGACATGTTCTGCTCCATATCAGGCGGAAGGCTGGCCTGCCCAAGAATGCCACAGAGATTCTAAGACTTTAATCAGCTAGCTTCTTTCAGCCTCTTATTATTTGTGTCATGGGGGTAAATATCTTCTAAATAAATATAGAATATTGGATTATATATTTGGAGCAAATAAGCATCAGGTGCTATCAAAGAACTCAATTCAACTTTATTGAGAACCTTCCATATAAAGATACTGTGCAGCAGCCTGCAAGGTAAAGATGTAAGTCCTATCCCTAAAGAAATTTTGCTTGAGTGAAGTTTATGGTTAGAAAATAAGACAGAAGAGCCTAGAAATCATAAGAAATGTTTTTGTTATAGTTCATAGGATTTAGAAAGAGCAATTATATAGTTGAAAGAATCAGGAAAGATACTAAGAAGTAGGTGATGTCTATGATGGATCTTTGAATATGATTTGAATTACAGATGAGGGAAGAGAAAGTATACTAAGTGGGAGCCCGGCAAAGGTGTGGAAGTACTGAAGGTCAAATGATCCTATTTGCTAAATGTAGGACACCTGGAAGAGAGTCCCTGTGACATAAACTTGGAAAGGTAGGTAGGCACTATATTATGAAAGAACTTAAATATCAGAGAAAATGTGACTTAATTTTGTTGAAAATGGAGAGACATTTAGGCAACAGAAATTGTAAACATTGACAAATGATAAGGAAACTTGTCTTACAGCAAATGCTGATCGAAGCCCGGAGCAGATGGACGTTCCTCCTGTGGCCACTGTAGGTAAGCTTTTGGTGAGTGCATCCCTTTCTCTGCCACTGTTTATCTGTATGAGTTCACTTTGTACCTGGGCAACACTGTCAAATGTCACCATTCCAACCCAGGACCCTTGCTCAACTATCTGCAGAAGGAAAAGTTTGCCGGCTTGATTCAGTCGTTTAAGGCGGTCACCAGTCTGAATGGAGAAGTAGAAGAAAAGCAGTCAGGGTGGGTTTAGATGTGCAGACTAATAACAAAACAGTGTAGAGGAAATTTGGAAGTAGCTGTCTTAACATAGTGTAAACGACAATAAGCTTATTCAAGACCTTTATATTAAATTTCCATGTTAAATTTCTCCTTTTAAAAAAAGATTTTATTTATTCACGAGGGGCACAGAGAGAGAGGCAGAGACACACAGGCAGAGGGAGAAGCAGGCTCCTTGGGGGAGCCCAATGTGGGACTTGATCCTAGGACCTCAGGATCATGCCCTGAGCCAAAGGCAGACACTCAGCCGCTAAGCCCCCTAGGCGTCCCTAAATTTCTCCTTTATATTGAGTAGCATCTTTGGGCAGAATTTTAGGGCCTTTTTTTAAATAACTCTAAAAGATCAAGCCAGATTAGGCCTTAGTTGAATCATTAGTTCATTGGTTTAGTAGTAGTTCTATAGACCTACATCTTGTAGTGAAACATAAAAAAATGTTAATCAGCAGATCTTGCTCATAAATTAAAAGCTCATTTAATTTGGCAAATGAGACACTTGCTGCTGAATTTCTCTTGAATAGAGTTGAGGTGGGTGTTTCTTATGGTAATATTACTGTTGTAACTGTTCTGACTCTAAGGGTTGTGTTTATTCCCAGCTTGTTACAAATGGCAGATCATATCACACATAAATATGAGGGCAGCATCCCAAAGACCAAGACCAGTGAACGTACCGCCATGCTTCCAGACTTATCAAGAACTAAACACACAATTCTTTGTCCGATCTGCAGCAATGAGAATGTGGGTGTCGGTGGCTGTGTTGTCATAGGAGTGGTTTTCTTAAAATCCTCAGAATCTTGAATCACTTCCCATGTGCTTCGGAGATTGCATCTTTGGTTTTGTGGGTTTGGGGCATCTTTATTGTGGTTTTTTTCTGTACAGAATTTAACCACCTGGAATTGTCAATAAAATTACAGAGATAAACTGTAGAGAAGGATATTTAAATCCCTTGCCTTCCTTCCTAGTCTGCCCTGCTAACCCATGAACTTGGCTTAATCCCATAATCACTGCAGGACTCTGCTGGAGAGATTCACAGTCATAATTCAGACTTCCTATTTCATACCACATCTTCAACCTCATTGGACCCTTGGTGCTCCTCAGCCATCTATTTATCTGCTCTTGGCTTCCTTCCTATGTCTCAAATTTCAAGCTATTTCAAGCCACTATCTTCAAAACACCCACTTCTTGACATTACTCTGCTGGTACCATTTTATCTCTCCATCCTTTTACTTCTCACTCACTTCCTTACTTCCCACTCACTTCCCAACACCCTGTATTCCAGCTCTTTCCACTAAAATGTACCACCAGCTCCTCAACTTTCATGTGCTCATAACTGAACTTACCACTTTTCCTTTAACTCTACTCCTCCTCATGTATTTTCTAACTCGATGTCACTACTATTCACCCAGTCACTACATCAGGAAATCTATCTTCTTCCTTCTACAAAGTAACCAAGATCCATCTATTTCACTGTCTTTCCAGTTCATCATCTTTCTCCTTCTCCATTGGAATCTTCATCGTTCAAGCCCTCATGGTCCCTTCCTCAGACTATTTTGGTCTGTTATCTGCCTTTTTCATTTTGCTTGCTCTCCAAACTGGTCCACTCCACAGCATCCAGAAACATTTTCTTTCTTACTCCTGTACTCAAGACCCTTTGGCATCTCCTCATTGCTCACACACTGTGATCTGGACTGCTTCACATAGCAAGCAGCAATCTCCATGATTTAGATTTTGCTTCACTCTCCATCCTCACTCTGGCTGTGCATTCCAAGTCTCTAATATCCCTCTATTGTAATCCATAAATTTTCAAACTTGCCTTGTTTTATATCTCTGTATTTTTGCTCATGGTTCTCACTTTGTCAAGGAATTCCTCTTCCTCTATCTTCTGAGTTGTGAACTTAACCTTCATGTTTTGGCCAAAAGGTCATTTTCAAAATGTTTTTTCATTTCCTACCTTCCCCTCAAAGAACTATTCAACCCTCTGGTTTCACAGTACCCTACAGATACTTTAGTAAGACCCCTTTAAGATTGTTAATACACTATAAGCCCATCTATGGCAGAAAATAGTCTCATTAAATTTTGCTTCCTCAAAACTTGGTTCAGTATCTGGCACATAATAAAAGTTCAATAGAAGTTTGTTGTTTTTTGAGTGACCCTAAAATCTGCATGTCAGTTTTTTTAACCTACAAAAGGGCAATAGTTATTACTGAATTACATGAGAACATGGAATAGGGTCCTTACTAACACAGTCAATAAATGATAGTTTCCTCCCCTTTTCCTTAAGCATGAATATCCCTAGCATTTGGGGGATTAAAAAAGGAGCCACAGTATGCAAAGAATGTATAACCTCATTCCTCCTCTTAGACTATTATTCACAGTATTAGCACTTAATTAAAAATCCTAAAAATTCCGGATTCTAGAAATTTAGAAAGTAATCATTAGCTGTAAAACACTTATTTTTCTCTTCATTTGCATATCCCAGGTGATTTGGGTTGTTTCCATAATATCATACATAAGGCTCTATTTTAGCCAGAGATCTGAAACACATATAAACTGCGGACAAAGATTCCCAGATCTGTGCATCAAACTTAACTTTGTAGTTAATTTAAAACACATAATCTGGGGCCCCTGTTGAAAGTTTCTGAGTAAATCTAGAAACGGACTGCAAAACCAGACTGAAGGATGGGACTTTTGAACCATGTACATCACATTTTTAAAACTTATACCGCGTTTTTATTGACAGACTCTTACAAGTTACTTTAACCTCATTCCAAAAGGAGAACATAATTTTATGTAAGAGACTAAAAAGGAAGAGAGTTGCTCCACAAACTGACTTTAGTCTGTAATTAACTGATACATTTAGGTTTACTTTGTGCAAATTTGCTGGTATTGTATATTTAGCATTAATAAGGATAATCTGTTGAGTTTGTTTTATGACCTGTTGGTCATTTAAAAAAAACATTAAGAAGTATTTTAAAGTCACTTAAAACTATTAAAACCATGTACAAACTCCTTACAGGCATCAATACTCTTAAATAGAAAATTTTAGGTAACAACCCAAAGCAAATATTCAGGCTGAAAATATTTCAGGCTACTTACTGATCATGTCCTTTTTAAGAAATAAAAAAAAAAGTGTCTGATCCTCTTGGGTAAATTTATTATTTAACTAAGAGTTTTTGTGCTTGTCTGCCTTTAAGGATATTTGAAGTAATACTCAGCAATGAAACTATAAGCTTGTGGGAGGAAGATAATGGAGCCCTAAGAATGGACCTAAGGAAGGGGTAGGGGAAAGATAAGACTTTATCCCTGATTTTGTACTCCCAGCTTGTCCCACAGAGAATCAACTGCTTACTGGTGACTTCCTAAATTTGATCCTTTCTTGTAGTGATTGGGGGATAAGAACTTCACTAAATTCATAAATGCTAAAAAAAAAAAAAAAAAAAAGAACAGGGTACTTACAGAATCAATACTTTGCGAAAACATTATGGAAGCCGGCTCAGTCTGCCTGTCATAAGGTATGAACTCACATCCTTCTTCATAGAGCCCTGTTACTTTGTCGAGTTTGCATGATTTGGTGATACAGCTGCCCCCCTGACACTTCTTTATTACATTTTTGCCACTAATACCTGCTGAACATCTGAAAACATATTAAGGTTAGATGTTTAGGTGCTGTAATCATTTCAGAGGGTTAGACTCTGTGGTCAGGTTGTTCTGATATCTACAATTTTCTCTTATAATTCAATGAACAAATATATCACCTTAAATAGTAAAATTATTAAATTCACATCAGAGTCATTTTTAATTGGCAAAAAGTATTTGAAAGGTTCCCAAAATGGTATCAGAATTTGTTTCTATGCAGCGGAAAAGTTAAGTCTGGCTTATGACTGCTATCAGAATTAATAAGGATCCAAGTACTTAGCCACCTCCTCATCTAGAACACTCATTCCTAGAAAATCAGGAGCTCTCTTTTGTTTCCATCTAGTTTATATCATACAATTTTTGCATAGTTCTTGTATGTTCATAGATATTTTGGATTTTTCCTTCTATTATATGCTTCTGAGTTTGTGGCTATTATATATAAGTGGACTGCTTTTACCATGTATTTTATTTTTTGAGTATATAAACAATATATGAACACTATAGGAAATTTGGAAAATAGCAAGTGTCTAAAGAAGAAAAGAATCATGTCCCACTATCAGAAATAAAGTTACTTTTAACATGTTGAAGTATTTTCTTCTCTACATATCAGCATAACATTGCACATAAAGTTTTGCTTCCTGCTTTTAAAAAACTTAGCATGTTAGTATATTTAACATTTTAAGATATTATTATATTTTATAATATCTTTCAAAATGTGATTTTAATATCTGTATGTTTTGATACTATAATGTGAATCTAGTCTAATTTCTTGATTTGCTTCCCCCCCAATTTGTCAATACTAAAAGTAAAACTTCAGTGAATTAATAAAATTTCACATAAAGTTTTATACTGTTTCCAAGTTTGCTGCATGGTTGATTCCCACAGTAAAAGTTTGAACATTTTAGTCTGTTGATACAGCCCATCCTATCATTTTTCTTAAAATGGATTTTTAAATATGAAATTGGATCAAAAAATAGGAAACATTTTATAGATTTTATGTGTCATCAAGTTGCTTTCCAGGAAAGGTGTACCAGTTCATGCCTCTAAGAGCCATCTGTGAGAATACTCATCACACCATGAGTAACCTCACTTACTAGGTCATAAGCAATTCTCATCTTTGTCGAATTTGCACCTCTTTATAACTAGTAAGTCTGAACATTTATTACCTGTTTATTGGCCATTTTTATTTCCTCTCTTGTGAGTAATTTATTATTCTTCAGCGTCCATTTTTCTATTAGGGTATTGCTGTTTTCCTTCTGGTTTTTAAAAGTTCTTTTCGTGTTGTAATACTAAGCTCTTAAAAGCCTGGTTTCTTAATTTTTGCAAATACTTTGTTCTGTTTTTAGCTTTTTAGTTTGTTTGATTTTTGTACAACAAAAATTCTAATGCATATGTTGCCAAATTTATTATTTTTTAGAATAAAAATGAATATCTTTTTCTGACTCTTGAATGCATAGAAAGACCTTCACTATGTAAGAGTTCAATACTTATTGATATTCATCTAGTTTTTCTTATTCATTTTATCTAATGAGTCTATCCAGTTGGAAGGGGGTCTATTAGTTTTTTCTCTACACAGTTAAAAATTGTCCTGATATCTTAAGAAATTCTGTCCTTCCTCATAGCTTTGTAATTCTAGCTGTATTAAATTATTATACATGTGTCTGTCAGTCCACATTGTTTTAAGTAATGTAGCTTTAGAGTATATTTAAAATTCAATAAGTAGAATTCCCCTTTATTATTATTATTTTTTTAAAAAAGTGTTCTTAGCATTTTAACTAGTTTCATAAAACCTATATATTTATTTGGGTTGAATTTACTTACATCTTCCATGAATTAAAAGGCTCCCAGATTATCCTGATATTCTTTTAAATCCTTTAGAAGGATTTTGTTGTTTTCTTCTTTTGTTGTTGTTGTTGTTTTCTTCTAACATGATTTTTACATTGGTTAGAGTTTCCCCTACTTTTAAAAATTATTTTATTTGTTTATTAGGTTTTTATTTTAATTAATTGTGCTTATTATGACAAGTGCACTCCTCAATCCTCATCACCTATTTCACTTCTTCTCCCATCTCCTTCCTCTCTGGTAACCATCAGTTTGTTCAGTTAGTTAACAGTC